GCATCTGTAAACTTTCAGTCCCTGTTGTAACCACTCAATGTTGTTGCTGTGACGTGAAAGGAGCCACTGAATGTGTTTACAAAAATAAGTGGCTGTGTTCCAACAAAAGTATGTCTTAGCACTGAAATGTGAATTTCATCTAAAATTTTAATTTTGTTCCCCAATCATTTTTATATACAAAATTATTTTTATATGAAAGAGATGATAAATCAAGTTTGACCTCTGACCTAGATTACCCCATTAAGTATTTAGACATTATTTACAATGGGACTTGTTTGTGTCACAAACTGATACGATAAACTTGAACATCCAAGCATAAGTTAGCAATGTTGAATGATTACTCTTCAGTTTACCATAGCAAAGCATACATATCTTTAAGGAGAGTATTTCCTTCCTCCCGGGGCCCCTACATAACACAACAGACTTGAGTAACTGTTGCACTTATGATGCATAATTCCATAGTACTGTATCTACCTTATTTTTCCTCCATAATGATTACAAATGGTACTTGCTAGCTTGCATATGATAATCTAATTTAACACAAAGTCTACACTTACATATTTATCTCATATTTTCTGTAGCAGTTTTTTCATGTAGTTCATAATGAGAACTCCTATTTCCAGGTGTTCCATCACATGAAAATTTTGAAAACTAACATCTCTAAAGTGTCCCTCTTCTGGAAACTTCACAAGAAATATTACACAAGCAGTATCTTTTCCTGGATCTTTACATTGGGATTTTCCTTAAAACAAAACATTGTTCCAGTAGTGGCCTTTCTGTTAAAAATAAAGGACTGATTTAAAAAATTCCTTTTTATGGAACTAGCCACACTCTTCCTATTCTTACTTAATTGGTAGAGTGAAAAATTCATGAATTTTGGAGTTAAGACAACAGGAACTGAGCCATAACTGTCATTTACTAGTAGACGCACTTCCTTGGCCTCAGACATCTTAGTAGTAAAAAGGCTGATCACACAGGATTGCTGTAAGGATTACCCAAGATCATTTAAGCAAAGGGCCAGGAATAAGGGGTACTTGGAGATAGTGATTAGATTTACAGATGGCTATGAAACTAGGAAAGAAGGAAGATGAGAAGAAACATAAGATGATGGGTTTTGAGACACTGTCTGGTTTCACATCCTTGGGTTTTCTGGCACTGTTCTTGTTTTCCTATCTGACTACTGCGGTTCTATCTGTCTTTCTTCCAAATTTATCTCTACTAATTGCTGCTCAATTTTGTTTTATTTTCCACTCATCCTTAACCCTCCTCTATATATTTGCTTCCCAGAAAGAACTCAGAAGGAGGATTTGGCCTCATGTAGTCTCTGCTTCCCTTCTCCATTATGGGTTGAACTGTGTCCTCCAGAATTGTTGAAGTTTTAAATCTTAGCAACTCAGGTTTTGCCCTTGTTTGTACTAGGGCTGGGTGGTCCTGATCAATATGATCGATGCCCTTATAAAAAGACATAGATGTTCAGGAAGACTGTCAAGTGGACATGAGGACAGTCAGTTGCAGTTTGAGAAAAAGAGGCCTCAAACAGACCCTCAGAAAGGATCAAGCCATTCTGACACTTGGCTTCCAGAATGGCAGACAAGCATTCCTGCTGTTTAGATCATTCAATTTGTGGTAATTTGTTATGAGGCCCTAACAAACTATGTGCTCACCACATGAAACAAGCTCTGACTTCATAATCTCACTTTAGTTTTTTAAGCTCCAGGGAGGCTGTAGTCCTAATTCATTTTGATAATCTATAGAGAGCTGCTTAATCTTGGACACATTTTTTTCCCCAGTATTACTCAGAGTCTGTCAAAATATGCTTCATGAAGTCTGCCAAAGATCTCTGTCCATGTGTGACTTTTTAACTCCGACATAAAGGAAACAGCGTGCCCAGACTATTATGGCTCATTGTTTCTAGGGCCCAGTGCCTTATACATTCTTGATTAATGGGAAAGGTGGGTTAGCAACTACCTAGCAACCAACTAAAAAGAGCAAAATGTATTTTGCCTACCTGAAATCAAGATTTTCTGAGAGTGGAGCTGAAATACAGTCTTCCCTCAGAATCCTCATGGGGTTGGACCCAGGGCCCTTATGGATGGCAAAATCTGCAGGTGCTCAGCTCCTTCTATATGTAATGTGGCACAGTATTTGCAGATGACCAATACACATCCTCCTGTGTACCTTGAGTCACCTCCAGTTTACTTATAATATCCAAGACAATGTAAATGTTTGCAACATAGCCATTAACATTATACTGTTTAGGGAATAATGACAAGAAAGACTATATGCAATTTTTTCCTCAAAATATCTGATCCACAGTGCCTGAGTCCTAGGAAGTAGAACCCATAAATGTGGAGGGCTGATTATACTTAGCAGAGAATCTTGTGAAAACTTGGTCCCAGCTCTCTTAAATAGATTCTGGTCCCTACCTATCTTGAGAAATACAGAATTCAATTTATGAAATTCTAAGACTTCAGATGATTCTAAAATGTTTGAATCTCAGCATCCTGCACCTCTTCTTGCTGAATCTCTCCTCCACTTCATCTCCTCATGTGCTACTGCAGATGGCAGTTTTAGATCTAAGCCCCTACAATTTACTTGCTGGGCCACATTCTAGGTACAGCTTCTTTTTCTTTTAAAAATGCTGTTAACTGCCAGGCAAAGATTCTGAAATTTGAATACCTAGAACAAGTCAGGGGAGGGGCCATCTGGCATTAGAATGTCTCCCAAAGTGTGTGTTACCTTCTTTCAGCCCAACAGTACATTCCTTTGTTTAAGAAAGTTGGTACTAAGTGCTAGTTACTGTGATTTTGGATAACTTCTTGTCTTTTCTCAAAGGTTTGAGCTTCCACATGCAATTGTATACTACAAGCTTTTCTTGATCAACTATTATATGTTCAGTACTCTCTTTGTTGGATCATCCAGGAAAGTATAAAAACATACCTTTCCCTCACAAAGCTTGTAATCTAGTTAGAGAGACACACTTAAGAGTGTACTGAATAAGTATGAGTCAGTATAGGAAAAAACTGTAAAAGTTCAGAAAGAAGGAAGCAGTGCCAGCAGAGGCTGTAGACAAGGGATTCATAGAGTTAGTGGATATTAGCTAGATTTTAAAGAATCGATAGGATTTAAAGTGAGACAAAATAAAGCCACACAGGAAAAAAAAAAAAACAACAATAAAGGGAAGGAAAGGAACAAATCAAAACAAGAAGGTTTTGGCCAAGAATATTACATGAACAACTGTAAATAACTTATTTTTGGACATGGAAGGAATCAATAAAAGTGATCTGACTCATGTGTCATGGGAAGTATTCTGAAATAAGACTGTGTTTTTTGTAAGTCACGGATACATGACAAGGACCATGTAGGACAGATAGGAGTGACTGAGAAGTATTCAATGAGCCCATATTTTTCAATGAAAGCATCATGTCTGTCTGTCCCCCTCTGTAGGTGATCAAGCGCACACATTAAGCTGTCAAAAGGATGGGTAGCAGTGAAAACCAAGCCTGCTCACTGCGGTGGGAGTTCCCTAGCACATACTCTTTCTTTCGGGCTGACTTTCGCTTCTCTTCATTAACTTCGTGGTTGGCATCCCGAAGCTTGACCTCACGATCAGAAAGGCTCGCTGGTATGATGTCTAGCTCCAGGTCCTTGTTATCCTGCACGCAGAAGGATCACAAAGGTTACCCTGGAAAAGCTGTAGGAAAGCCACTTGCCCATGCTGAGTGAGGCATTAAAGCAGAAAAATTAGAGAACAATGTAATGGAGGATGAAAAAATGTGAGGGCTGTGCTACAAACTCCTTCCCACGAGCATGAATACTCTTCTTATGAAGCAATTCTTTTCAAATAAGAGACAGAAAATATTGAATGCTAATATCCATAGTGGTAGACATTATGTATCTACTTTGCTGAGGCCTTTAGTCCCGATTACATCTAAACATAACATATGCATAAATGGGTTTAGGACTCGTTTTTCACCATTAAGATAAATATGAAACAGAAACATATAAAGACAAAAACTTTTGTCAAGGGAAAATATTTTTATTAAACCAACCCATTTCTCTTGCAAACAGCTCAATGATTGAATGTTCTAATTACTTGTCCCTAATTATTTCAACCAACATTTGGCATTTATACATGATGGAATCCTTTAGGCAGAAAATTAGATTCATGACTGGGGGAGATGTCAGCTGCCTCAACTTTCAGTGGTCTGACCACTGTCTAAGCTGTTCTGCTTTAGAGTGTGATCCTATTTAAAGATTTATGATTTAGAGATCCTGAGATTAAGTTGCCAAGCTTTATTTAGCTCTTAATTTATAGGTTACTGACCCTTATTATAAAGAAGAGATTAAAAGTTGGTCTTCCTTTGCTTTATGGAAAATAGTATCTTTTCTCAGTTGAAATGTCGATAGCCTTTACACAAATTGCACCCCTTATTTTTGAAAGAGCACTATTATAATATTAGGGACTCTAATCATGTGGTGATTAATATAATTGAGTAGGAGATGGTACTGAGGAGGCTGAAATAAAAGGGTTAGTCCTGAAAATCAATAATCAACTCTACCACAGAAAAACTGCTCTGTAGCCACAGGACCCTCTCCTGGCCAGCCAATTTTGCAATATATAGGGTACTGACTAGAGGTGAATGGATTCTTGTCCCCTACCCCATTCCCACTCAAAAGCCACACAAGGAAGCGCTCTAGGATCACCAGCTCAAAGGGACTGTTCTGGAAACTTCTCCTTGGTGGCATGGGAGCCCAGTACTGTGGGAGATGAGAAAGGAGGACACTCCAGTGGAAGACCCCTTACTTACCTCTGTGTTGACTCCTAGAGCTTTCTCCAGGGAGTATCGGTACTTCCCCATCCTCAAGGAGAAATCCCGATAGTGTTTGTCCACTGTGGTCACCCATTTCCTTATCTCTGTAGCATGAATGTGGCCTTTTTCTACAAAGCTATCAGCCAGCTGAATCAGAAGCTTCACCTTCTCCTTTGTTTGCTGCCCCAAAAGATGGTCTTAAGTTACTGGATGACATTACTCCTGGGTCCCTTCCCCCCAAGTCCCCTTCTCTTCACAGTAGCCACAGTCACCTCAGAACTAGACTGCGTGGACTCGTGTCCCAGCTCTGCACTCACTGCCCAGGTCACCCTGAACAAAGTGCTTAAACCCTCTGTGCCCTTGCAGTTCCTTCACCCACTAAATAGGGATTTGAACAATAACAGTACCTGCATCACAAGGCTGTTGTGAGCATTAAATGACCTGATAATGCAGAATGCTTACCACAGTGCCTAGAACTCAGTAGGCACTCACAGTGCCCACAGGAAGCCATAAATGTTAGCCAGTATTATTACTACCCACATTAATATTGTGCTTTTCTGTTTTAGTCAGTAAGTTATCATCATATCGGAGACCTGGGTGAGTCTTGAAACATCCTTAAGAAATAGGTAGAGGGAGGTGGCCTTGGTCTTTTTGAGCCACAGATGAAAAATCTAAAGATTAGTTTTTAGGGTCCCAATTCATATCACTAATAAGCAATCAGGCCTGTTTTTATCTGATCCTTTGCTCCTAGTTCTCTCCCTTCCCTGGTTTAGAGATGCAGAGGTAGGCTCTGAAACATCATATGTTGGCAAATGCTAGTACCCAAGGAAATCTAACTAGCAGACTTAGGAGTGAATTTTGTCCCTTTTAGATTAGCATTTAGTTTCTTTTGGAGAGAAAAGGTTTAAAGAAGCCAGCAACTGTTCCAGGCTAACCAGGCATAGCTCTGACAGGTGCTGGGTTAATTTCATTTTTAGCAAAAATTTGTTCACTTATCCACTCTGTTCATATGTGCAGAGAGCTGTAGGAATGGGCTAGGGTGTGGGTGGGTGGTAAACAAAAGGAGGGAAAAATGATGTTCGTGCTCTCCAACAATACGTAATCTCTAGAGGGGACAAGATTTTCATGTAGTGTAGTTAAGTAACTCAGGACATCATGTAATGGAATGTCAAATTGAGAAGTGTGTATAGTTAACAATGCAGGAATTTTAAGTACAGAAAATGCAGGTATGGCAGCATATGAAGGTATGGCAGCATGAGAAGGTAGGAAAGTACTCTGGGGAAGGTGGGGCTCAAACTGGGTAAGCTGTGGAAATGGAAAGGATATTTAGATAAGGAAACACTTGCTCATCTTTCATTTTAAGTGTAGATTTTGAAACTCTAAAATCGATCAGGTAAGCCTGAAAATTCTTAAGGGAAAGGATTTAAATAATATTCTAAAAAGAAAAATTATCTTTTGGGCTAGAGAAAAGTAAGTCCAAAAATTAGGCCTCTCATTCAATCTAGATAAGAGAGAGAAACTGACGCAGAAAAATCAGTGGAGCAGCAGTCAAAAAGACAGAAGAGCCTTTATTTCTTTGCCTTTGCCCCCTAACCACTCTAACTCTCCTGTATCCTCCTCTCCACCAGGAGGGGCCTATCTCAGGACACTGGGCTGGTGCTGGCAGCTGGGAGCCAAGGGGCTGGGAGACCTCTGAAATGCAGGAGAGGAGGTGAGTGTGAGGGCCAGAGAACCATCACTCAGCATTGGAATTAGTTAAGAAAATATAGCTAGTATCCTAAGGACCACTATAATATTGCATATAGGGTTTTAATGTTTTTCATGAAAAGTTTTCTTATTTACTTAAAACAGAACTTAATTTTTGCTGCTAAAAATCAAGAAATTCATATTTATGTAAAAGTACTGGAAATAGATATTCTCTGCTTTTGGTAAAGTGACTTCCTTTATGAAGGGGTTTTTCAGGTAGTGGCAATAGCTCTACCAGCACAGCTCTATTAGAGGAAACTGCAAACCAAAGCATCAAAACTGTGATTCATAGCAACAAGGAGAAAGATTTGTACCCAAGAGCATCCTAGGTTCTTGTGGAGCCTGGGGAATGAATAGTAAAGTGAGCAGTGAGCACAGGCTTTCCTCCATGTGGCCTGCTTACCATTACAGCAGCCTCTGACTCTGTGCTCTCCGTGCCCCTGAGTAGCAGCCAGGCTGAAGGTCACAGGCCCCGCCTGCTGTGGTGATGGGCTCCTGTTCATTTCATTTTCAATCCAATGGCCCCTTTTCTCTCCCTTCCTCCCCAAAGACAGGTAGGTGATGATCTTCCCCACAATTCCAAAGTAACATACACATGCCTCTCTTTTAGTGTGCATAATGAAGAATAGTTTCTGTGTCTCCTCCATTAGACCATGAACTCCTAAATGGTAAGTATTAGATCTTACTTACTTGCTTGTCTCTAATACCTAGGATACAGTGGGCATACTGTAAATGCTGAATGGAGGAATGAGTGAATGAATACACATATCTGGTGTCTGGAGGAGAATAAAGCCATACCAGCAGGAGTTGACAGTTTACATTGGGAAGGATCAGATGACACACTTAGCCCATGCACTGAACAAGCCCAACGAGACACCAACTGTGGCCATAATCCTCACAACATGAAGTCTGGAATGATTTCTTACATGGTGAGTGAAGTAGTACCATGTTACCTGCCACATTCCTGGCCACAGCTGATAAGATCAGAGGCAAACCTTGCCCCATTGATATGTGACCAGTGACTCCTGATGTATCCTGGCTAAAAGCTCTGTCTAAAAAGGGATATTGTCAACATGGTGGGCCAATGGAGGTTTTGCTCTGGGGATCTGCACTGCAGAGTCAGGGAGCCAGGTTGATGACTACAGGGCAGAAGTGAAAACACAGGATGGAGAAGGGAGAAGAAAATGGAAGTTGAATCCTAGTAATGGGGGCATATTACAGAGACCTCTGAGCTCCTGCTGTGGGGAGATCAGATAATGTGGCTTCTCAGGTTGCTGCTCTGGGTCTGGGGTGACACCGTAGTTGTCATCTTCAGAGGTGAGACTATGCTACATTGCTTGTTTTTCCCACAGGGTGAGTCATTCAGCACATCGTAGGACCCTGAGAGGTCCATCCACATAGTTTTTATCTTTATTTCCACAAATAGCCACACAATAGTTTGAAACTCAAATCTTGCCACAAAATACAGTATCTTATATAGACTGATGAAGTGGAGTTCAGATTGTAGTGAATGTTGGATAACAGGTTCAAAAGTATGGACATAACCGATCTTTGGGCAAGAGGGAGAGTTTGGGAATATAACTCATCTAGGTCTAGAAATCTAGAATGGACAGCTCACATATCTTGGGCTTCATGTGTCCCCTAATGTATACTCTTCTCTTTCTATTTTGAATAAATATCACCTGGTAGGAAAGAGCTTTAAGGAAGAGAGATTCAGCAATTCTAGTTTTCCTCTCTTCCTGCTCTTTCCTCCCTTTCTCCCCTTTTCTCCCTTCTCATTTTCTTTGATCAATTTGTATGTCATCTTTGCATAATTAGTAAGCCTTACTCTAACATTTTAAGAAGCTTTTCTGTCTTTTAAGATTTACTCCTCTTGATATTAGTTTTATAATGTCATTATAAATATTCATACTTTCCTTTCACTATTGACCTTGTATTTACTGTACATATTTTTTGTACACATTGGCTTAGTAAGCTCCTTGTTCAGGTAAACAGGTTTCTTGAGACAAATCTCCATATTCATTCCGTGGATCATTTGGCATTACATGTGAAAACTGAACCTATCAAAATTTCCCATCAAATATGAGCTAAATTCCCGTAAAGAGCCTCAGAAATAGAATTCTGCCCATCCCATCTGAATTGTTTAGATTCCACTTTTCTTTCCCTAAAGTACCCATCTGACAACTCCAGGTTTCCCTTTCCTTGCTGTCTGAATTCCAAGAAGTAATCACTTAGTTCTGCTAAGGCTCCAGTCATTTTATCACTGCTTAATTCTCTTGTTAAGAAGAATGATGTCTGGTTCAAAGGTCTACTATCAACATATATAAAGAACTAAAAAAAAAAAAAAACACCAGACCCCCCAATACAAAGACCTGATTCAAAAACGGGCATCTACACTGGAGGAAAGATAGCCTCTTTAATAAATGGTGTTGGAAAAACTGGATCTCAACCTGCCAAAGATTAAAACTAGACCCTTATCTTTCACCGTGCACTAAATTAAAATCCAAGTAGATTAAATATCTAAATATTAAAACAGAAACACTAAACTTGCTGGAAGATAAGCTAGGCAGAACTCTTGAAGACATTGGCATAGGAAAACACTTTATGAACAAATCCTCAGTAGCATGGGAACTAGCAGAGAGAATCAACAAGTGGGATCTCATCTTATTAAAAAGCTTCTGTACTGCAAAAGAAACCATCAACAGAACTAAGAGACAACCTACAATGTGGGAAAAAATTTTTACCAGCTGCTCCTCAGACAAAGGACTATTATTTAGAATATATAAAGAACTCAAAACAACTAGCCCCCCCAAATATAAGGACCCGATTAAAAAATGGGTATCTGAAAGGAACAGACATTTCTCAGACAAAGAAGTAAAAGCAGCAAGTAAATATATGAAAAACTGTTCCACATCACTGGGCATTTGAGAGATGCAGATGAAAACAACACTGAGATTCCACCTCACCCCACAAAGAATGGCTGCTATCAAGAAATCAAACAGTAACAAATTGAGGATATACTCCTAAGTGAAATAAATAAGTCACACATGTGTAAGTACCGAATAGTTTCTCTGGTATGAATAAACTATAATAGTACATAAGATCCTAATGAGGTAATTGACAATGTGAAATAGGAAGAAAAGGGCTTAAGGTGTAGGGAAAGTGGGAAAGGTAAGGGAAAGGTAATAAGGGAAAGGAAAAAATAGGAGAAAACAAGAAAATGGAAATAAAATGTTTGTAAATGGGGAGGGGAGGAGGGGTGAAGGGAGGGCAAGGACAAGGGGAAAAAATGAGAACCCAGACCTGATATGTAAAGGTACAAGATCTCAATAATGAATGTAACTGTACTGTATACCTAAAATGTACCAATAAACTCAATGAGGAAAACAAAAACAGAAACAAAAATGGGCATCTGAAATGAACGGACATTTCTCAGATAAAGAAGTGAAAGCAGCAAATAAATATATGAAAAAATGTTCAACACCACTGGTCACTGAGAGATGCAGATGAAAACAACACTGAGATTCCACCTCATCCCACAAAGAATGGCTGCTATCAAGAAATCAACCAATAACAAACCCTGGTAGGGTTGTGGGGAGAAAGGAACCCTTCTCCATTGTTGGTGAAGGAGCAACCATTGTGGAAATCAATATGGACATAGTTCAAAAAACTAGGATTAGAGGTCCCATTTGACCCAGCCTTCCCTCTGCTGGGTATCTTTCCAAAAGTATTAAAAGAATCATACCACAGTGACATATGCACACCCATATTTATAGCAGCACAGCTTGTAATAGCTAAAACTTGGAAACAACCCAATTGCCCATCAACTGGAAAGTGGCTAAAGAAGATGTGTTTTTTCTATAAAATGGAGCACTACTTAGCCACAAAGAATGAGAAACTAGAGTCATTTATAGGAAAATGGATGCACATTGAGGCCATACTCCTAAGAAGTAAATAGGACACACATGTGTAAATACATGTGTAATAGATGAATAGTTCATCTGGTGTGAAAAACTAAAAGTGCAAATAAGATTAAAATTGTATAATTGATAATGTGAAATAGGAAGAAAAGGGCTAAAGGAGTAGGGGAAGTGGGAAGGGTTAGGGGAAAGGAAAGAAGGGAAAGGGAAAAATATAAGAAAAGGAAAAAATAGAAAACAAAGTCTGTAAATAGGGAATGGTGGAGGGGTGAAGGAGGGTGGGGGAATGGGGAAAAAAATAGGAACTAAGATACATCATGTAAAGGTACAAGATCCCAATGATGAATGTAACTGTACTGTGTACCTAAATAGAACTAATAAATTTAATGAAAAAAAAGAATGTCTGATTTACCTCATCATTACTCTCACTTCAGAGACAAAACTACCTGCTTAAAAAACTGTATTCTCAACATCAGTCACTGGCAACTGTAAATTATAACCACAAAGGATTCTACATCAAAAGGATAGATGAAAAAATGAGAACCAAGACCTGTCATGTAAAGGTACAAGATCCCAACAATGAATGTAACTGTACTGTATACCTAAAATGTACCAATCAACTCAATGAGGAAAAAAAAACGACAGATGATAACTTTGTAATGGCAAAGAAGTAGAGATGTTGGAACCCACATATACTGCTGGTGAGAGTATAAATTGTGTAGCCACTTTGGGAACAGTGAGTTCCAGGGCAGTCTTAACTACACAGTGAAACCCTGTCTCAAAAAAATCAAAACAAAACAGAAAAACATCCACCTGAAAATGGTAACAAGAAGTGGTATGTCCATACAATGGAATATTATTCAGTCACAAAAGAGACAAAGTACTACAACATGGATGTATCCTGAAAATATTATGTGAGGAAAAGAAGCTAGACACCAGAGGTCACATACTGTATGATTCCATTTATATCAGATGTGCCATAGAGACAAATCTATAGAGACAGAAAGTACACTAGTAGTTTTCTGAAGGAGGAGGGCATGGGGAGTGTTGATGAATATGGAGTTCCTTTCTGGGATGAAAAAAATGTTCTGGAAGTAAATAGTGGGTATGGTTGCACAATCTTGTGAATATAGTAAAAACTACCAAATTATATTTAAAAAGAAAAATAAAATGTAAAAAAAATTTTGTTTTTAGAAAAGACAGTTCTTCCAGATAGTAAGATGATACCTATGGGCCAGGGATTTAGCTCAGTGGGGCCTCTGCCTTACAAGTAAAGGACCCAAGTTTGATCCCTGGTGCAAAAAAAGAAAAAAAAAGATGATACCTATTACCATGCTCTAAGGTACCTTATAAATTTAAAAACTCACAATAGGAAATATCATTTGTAGTCTCCTAATTGGGTTGTTCATAGGCATACCCCAATGTAAATTTTACTTTCCTCTTATCCTCACCCAAACTCTCTTTATCTCATTTTTATTTTAAATTTGTGGGTGTTTATATAGAAAGTATCTTTTTATTTTTATTTTTATTCTTTGGTACCAGGAATCAAGCTCAGGACCTTGCACTTGCCAGGGAGGCATGATACCTCTGAGCTAAATCCCAGACCCTAGAAAGTACCTTTTTATATTTAGTGTTTCTTTCACTTGATCTTTCTTTGGACCAGAGTATAATAATTCAGTATAATCTATTGTCCTATCAAATCATGAAGTTGACCATATTCACCCTTTGTGGCTCAGGGTCAATGTGGTTTCTATTTCAAATTCACTTCACTGGTTTCACAGATTAAAACCAAAGATGACTGGGTAATTGGGGGCTGAAAGTGGGATGAAGGTGGCACAGGAGTCTTTTGCTATTCATCAGAAGGTTCTCACATGGATTTGTTATTCATTACATATTTGGAATCAAATAACCCTGAGATGTGGAACATGCTAGATGGGAGAATGATATCCTGTAACAGAAATACTGTAGTTAAGCTGAAAGAAGGAGGAGAACATTAAAGGTCGAAGTATAAATATCATAGTAAATACAAATTTGGGGGTGGTGGTGAAATCTACCCAAATTTCCTTTTC